TGTTTGTTTTTAATGGATAATTGTAAATCCAAGTAAGGGTTAGGTTAGGTTGGTCTGGGTTGTCGGGTTGAATATACATCCCTATTACTATCACTAGTTCACTTCTGGTCACTTTTCTCAACAAATTTCTCAGCCACAATGCTTGGCACGATGGTGTAGTTGATGTCATGAACTTGGCCTCACATGAAGATAGTGCCACAATTTGCTACTTCTGAGATTGCCAAGAGATAAAAAAATTTCATTGAGATAAAACTCCATTCCTGCAGCGTTTTTTCTTTCATCAATGTCTCTAGCTGAATCACTATCGATAAAACCGACTAGTTCTTCAGGACCTCGACCTCGATCTCTTTGATACTTTAGCTTGTAGCTTGTGGTACCCTTCACATAGCGGAGAATGTGTTCAACCGCTTGATTATGCATCGTAGTAGGCATTTCCATGTACCTACTCACCATTCCAAAAGCATATGAAAGGTCCGAACGAGTACGAGTCCGTGCCTCAAAATTTTGATGACGCACCTATACTCAGTGGAATTCACCAAGCTTCCATCAGAATCTTTCTCGAGTTGTAACTTTGCTTCCAATGGGATACTTGGTCGAGTTGCATATTGCCATCTTAAATTGTTGCAACAACTTTTTCGCATAGGTCAATTTCTTTAGCATGATGTAATCTTTTGTTTTGTCAACTTCAATACCGAGGTAGTACATGAGTAACCCGAGATTAGTCATCTCAAATTCTTTCATCATTTGGTGCTTGAACTCTTTGACGCCTTCCACACTTGTACCAGTGACGATCAGGTCACCAACCTACATGCCAACTATGAATGTTTCAACTCCATTGTTTCTTGTATACATTGATTGTTCTTGCAAGCACTTCATGAAGTTTAGAGTCTTTAAGCTCTCGTCCAGGTATATGTTCCATGCCCTTGGTGCTCTTCATAAATCGTAAGAGCCTTTGATAACTTGTACACGGTGTGATTTTCAGTTTTGATGATGAACCCTTCAGGTTGGGCAACATACATTTCTTTCTTGGAGGTTACCATTTAGGAACACTGATTTGATGTCCAAGTGATGGACCTCCCACCCGTGTTGATCTGCGAGGGAAAGAATCAACCATACAGACGCGAAACCTCCTAAAAAATCAACTCCTTGTTGTTGCACGTATCCCATCACCATGAGTTTTTCTTTATTCTTGATAACATTTCCTTCACTATTCTTCTTCAACTTAAACACCTACTTCAAACTAATGGGCTTGTGTCTGGGCAGTAAATTAGTTAGTGTCCACATCTTGTTCTTCTCAATGACTTCAAGCTCTTTTAAAATGCCCTACTGCTACATCGTCTCAGTTGCAGCCTCATGGTAAGTTGTTGGCTTCTCGACCGTGAGCAACACTAACTCTTCAAGATCTAATTCTTCTTCAAGCGTATCTGCATAAATTTTAGCAAGAGAACAAAACATCTTTGGTGCATCCTCTGTTGTGGGTTGCTCTCTTGTTCCAGAGAATTTATCACGTCTTTTGGTGTCACAAGTGATGACAAGTGTGGATTTGTTGATGTCATGTCGGTGCAGTTTCTGTATGTTGCTTCTCCCTCTTCTTCTAGGACAATGAACTCTATAACAGTCTGCTTGTTATCGCCAACACTGCACCAACCTCACTTCTTCTCTTTTTCGAATATGATCTCTACTTACATAAATTTTCTCAGGTTGCGGATCATACAACCTGTGTGCCTTGATCTCATCCTCTATGCCAAAGTACACCATCTTTTGGCTTCTGTCATCAAGCTTTTTCATATATTCTTTGTAGTCTTAACTTGCGTTGTACGACCAAAGACTCTTAGGTACTCAAAGTGAGGTATCTTACCGAACCATGCTTCGTAGGGAGTGCGAGTGTTTAGTGACTTTTTCAATAAACATTTTAAAGATAAACCACATTTCGCATTTCCTCGACCAAGAAAATCGTTGGGACTTGCATATTCGAGTAAGCTTCTTGCAGTGTTCATTATGGTGTGGTCTCTTCGCTCGACCACACTGTTTTGTTGTGGAGTATACGGTACGGTGAGTTGACGTTTGATACCTTCCTCTTCGAAAAACTTTGAGAAGTTCTGGGATAAGAACTTGCCACCTCGGTTAGTGCACAAGATTTTCAACTTGAGATCAAACTCATTTTCAACGAGTCTTTTAAACTTCGTGAATGCACATAATGCCTCTCCTTTTACTCAACACACATAATGCCTCTCCTTTTTTCTTTGAGCATGTACACCCACAAACAAAGACTATAATAGTCAACAAGTGAGAGAAAATACTTGTTACCCCCGTCGATGATGGAGTGATCTGGCCACACAAATTTGCATGGACCAGTTGTAGTTGTCGCTCAACATGAAAATTGGTTTGAGCTGGAAACGATAGCCTTGCTTGTTTGGACACTAAACAACTTTCACATTGCTGGTTTGAGTGTATGATTTTGGGTAGCCCTGTAGTCATCTTCTTCTCTCCCATCATTTTGAGCGCCTGAAAGTTCACGTGCCTAAGTCTTGCATGCCAAAGCTGGGACTTTGAGTGCTGTCAATAGAGAGATGGGCTAGTAGGTGTTGTATTGTTCGGTGAGAGGAAATTGGTTGGAAGAAAAATGTGTAAAAAAGGAGAGAGAGGATAACTGAATTCTGACTGCGTTCAAAATCAGGTTATTGTTTATTCTCAACAAATCTCCTATTTAAAATATAAATTATTCTAAATATGGCTGGAGAGTGGCCAACTAAATCTGTGCCACTCCCTACAAAATTTCCGTCTAAAATTTTGGTGATCCATTCGACGTGATTTGTCAAATGGTCAAACGGAGATTTTCTGAAATCGTGTGAATAAGGAAAAGCTATAAAAACTCAGGTTTTATCTAACAGTAGGTCTCCAACTATATCTTGTACAAGATGTTATGCAATCGTTTTACCTTCATTAACAAGGTTCCATTTTTGTCGAACACCTTAAGGAACGAGTCAACTAACTCCACTCTGCTTCCTTCTTCTTTCATCTGATCAAGATTGATAATATTATTTTTCAAGCTTGGGATATAATATATCTTGGTTAGTAGACGTTGGTCGTCGTTCTTACACTAAAACAAGATGGATTATTTACGTTGGATCGATACAATTGATCCATCGTCAAGCTTCATATTTTCAATGAGCTTCTCATCAATCTCCTTGAACTTTGTTCGATCTTTGATCATGTGGTTTCTTGCTCAGTTGTCAAGGTACCACATGTTGGTCTCTACTCGGTTTCTCCTTTTGTGGGAAGGTTCACCATAACCTTCACTTCATTGAGAATCAACAGGTTGGACATCTTCTCGGCCAACATTAGTGTGGGCTCTTGATCCTGCATGAGTGTGAGGTTGGCCCCTCATCGCACTTCTTCTTGCGACACTCTACTGCATAGTGCCGATATTTTCCAACACATCATACTTTTGTCCTTCCAGAGGTTGACATTTTCATGGGCTTGTGTGGTATTGTCAATGCCTCCTCTACACTATGTCGCGACCATGTCTGCGACCACATCCACAACCTCTATTTTTCTTGTTATAGCTGCCACGTCCCCTTGTACCAAAAAAAAAAAGACAGCCGCATCATCCTTTTTAACGTGCAAGCCACTCCTTATGTGTGAGTAAGAGGTGTTTCTCCTTCTCTTTGTCTTCGAAGCCACAAAGTCTCTCCTCATGAACCTTAAGACAACCAACGACCTCCTCAATTGACATGGTCTTGAGGTCGTTGAACTACTCGTAACAATTTGTATGAATCTTGAGGGAACAATGTGAAGAAACTTCTTGACAACGAAGATCTCTTCCACCTTGTCGCCTAACGAACGAATGTCATTGACGATCATCGTTAACTTCATGAAAAATTCATCTATTGATTGAACGTCTTCCATGTGAATGGCCTTGAACTCACTCTTCAAGGTCTTGACACGTTCCACATCCACATGCATTGTTTGCAGCGTCTCCCACACTGCCTTTGTCGAGTCTTTCTTTGCCAACATGAGAAGGACGTCCTCTGGGATTTCTTAATAGATGGCAATAAGAGTCATCCTATCCTTACACTCCTCAACATCACCATGCTCGATGGCATCTCACACGCCTTATGTCTGTAAGTTGATACGCATCTTTATTGGTCATGCTGCATAGTTACTCTTCGTGAGAAATGGGAAGTGGAGCGTTACACTCCCCTCCTTTTCATTCTTTATCATTGTTATATCCCCTCCGGCGACTTTGTGTGGAGACGACATTTATTTTGGCATCCTAGCTCTGATACCAAATGTTGGATGTAGTCCACGATTGAAATATGTCAAAGCAAACAAGTGAAGGAGGAAGAACAACCTGAGGGGAGAGAGCTTTTAAATAAAGTAACTGTACGCAATTATGATTTTCAATTCTCTTTGTTGTTGTTAAAAGTGCATACATCTAATGAGTATTTATAGAGAAGAAAACACTAACTAATTTCATAAACTTTCACTGGGTTAGCCTAATAACAAACCTATTAAGTTGACCAACTCTCTTTTCAAATGAATGAATCCTATCCAATCTAATAAATGAATAATTTGAGTTGGATTGAGCCCATCAAATTTTAACTTTAGACCAAACTTGAATCAAATTAATGTCGGCCTTTGAGCCACAGGATCATTGATAATAAGATGGAAAGAGACCTCATTTTAAAACTTTGACATCAATAATTTCTTCCAAATTAGTGTCAACTAGTTTCATACTTTCTATTAACTATACTTTAATCAAAGATATAAAAAGATATTATCAATGCATTAAAAATCTTCTTTTCTCGAACTATTCACATAAAATTCTAGATCTGAGTATTGGGTAACAAAACTTAGATTACCTCTTCATTGATATCATCATCGTTGTTTTATGCACGTATGGTGTTACGTAGAATGTTGGATAAACAAATCTAGTTGATGTCGGTTTTTGTGGCATAGTTCTACACCATACGGACCAACAAAAGAAAATGTTCATGATATTTAGCACATGAAAGTTCACACTCACTTTTATTTAATCAAAGAAAACACAACCATCAAACAACAAACACTTGTGAAGCAAACAAAAACAACTTCAGTCTCTGACTAAGGACAAACAAAGCCTTGTGGAATACTTTTCCCACATGAATTTACAACCAAACTAAGAGCAATAGGCACATCAACGGTAACAACACCCAACACATTCGCCTTCAGCGCCGTGCACAAACACAATGCAGCCTCGAGATCGGCCAATCCCTTCAACAAAGTACAACATTTCTTGCTAGGTTTCGCTCCGATCTGCTCAGATATGAGCCCTAGCCAGCTACCGCAAACCCCTAACTTGAGTGTATCTTTTGGGCACTTAGCCTTCGCTGTCGGTGTGGTAGCAGGCGATGGCTGAACCTTCGGAGAGCAACCCGGTTTTGCTGATGAAACACAAGCCAAAGCTATGACGTTCAACAAGGCTACAAGAGCCAAAGCCTTTGGAATTCTGAGCCCCATATCCAATATCCAATGTGTGTATAGCAATTGTGTGTTTTGAAGGTGTATTTATGGAGAGATATTAGGATTTGCCACATGTGAAGTTTGTGGCTTAGAATTTAACTTTAGGGGTTGCAGTGAGTGAATGGCATTGGTTAATGCACGCTGTCAGAGGCTATTTTCTCCATTGGCAGACACACCAAATTGTGGCTGCGGATAATTTGAGTGCATGTGAATTTTACAGAAGAACGTTATCCGTATTGGATTTTTTCAGTTTGAGTTGGCTATTGCTCAATGAACCAATGCACGCTGTCCAATGCTCAATAAGTTGTCTTTTTAAGTCTGGTACATAAAATACATCGTTGATTATTTCCACCATTTCATTTACTTTAAACTGTACATTTCTTTGCCCATCACAACAACAGTACATAGTTTTCACCCAACCTCATAGTTTGTTGAAACTTTTCATCAATATGATATGTGGTTGCTGCATCCGGAGTTAAGAAACCAAATGTCCCTTCTTTTCTTTCCAGCTTTCTTCTTATCTACATAGACAGTTAATAGCATCTCTTCGTTGGTTTCTGCATAATTTGCTCTATTATTCTTCCTTTTAAGACACTAGGTAATGTTCTAATCCATGACAATGGTAACATTCCACTGTTGATCTTCCATCATGTGTGATTTTTAGAGCTTGTTCTTCCTCACAAACATAATCATTCATGTGTTGCTCGTGCACTAAGAGACTACTTTGTAACTCATCAATGGATAAGGAATCCAAATCATTAGACTCCTCTATCGAACAAACAACATAGTCGAACTTAGAAGTCATAGATCTTAGGACTTTTCTATGATGTCAATGTCTGCCATCTTCTCTCCATGAACTTTCTTTCTATTGGCAATTATGAGAGTTCGAGCAAAGTAGTCTGACATTAAATCTCCCGTCTTCATGTGAAGAACCTCCCACTCTTTGCGAAGAGCTTGCAATTGTGCACGGTTGACTCGAGTGGTTCCCTGGTACTTCTATTTCAATGAGTTCCAAATATCCTTGACTGTTTCTTTAAAACCGGACAATCTAAAACTCAATTATAAAATTTATAAGATGTCAAACTCAAAACGGGGACAAAGCATTTTTTAATATTTTATCAAATTTTTAAATCCGATAACAATCAACTTTAAAATAAAATGATTCAAGACACCCTCGCACGTTAAATTCCCAACAACACAAACAAACTCCTGATTTCAATTATACGAAACAAAATAAACAAATCAAATTAAATGCTATAGATTTCTTTTTTCTTCTTCTTTCATCCCTATTTTTGCTAGTTTTACTCCATGTTTTAACTATGCTTCATGTAACTTTTTTAAATTAACGTTAAACATTAACGCTGCTTGGAATGTATGAAGTCTTGAGCTTAAGTATTCAGACTATACCTCTTGTAACTACTATGAAGCCTTAGGTATATTTAGGTCGTATTGTAGGAAACACATGAAGTCTTGGATGTAGGATCAGACTAAATTACTTGAAATGTAAGAAGCCTTGAATATTGGTTTTTACACTACGGTGCTTGGAAAATAAGAAGTCTTGAACGTAGGTATTCAAACTAAGCTGCTTGAAAAGTAAGAAATGTTGAGTATAAGTATTCAGACATGCCGCTTGGAACGCAAACGCGTTGCTTCACTTAGAATATGACATGAGTTTTAATTAGTTAGTCAAACGCACTCATCACCCCTCTTCTTTACACGTGATATCCTTCATCAGCGTGCATAATCAATTTTCAAGAATTTATTAGTTTCGCTATTTCTTCCTATTTATTTGAATTTTCATAACTTTCTATATATAAATTCAATCAACTTGGTTTCAGGGTAGAGTTTTAATCCATATTTACAAAGATATTTTTCTAGTAATTTATAATCAATTATAAAATGAAATAAATATGTCCAAAATCAGTCTAAAAACTATAAATTTATCGTTCTTGATGCATGCCAGAACGCTGACTTCCGATCTAGTTCAACTTTAGCTTCTTTCAATAACTTGTAAAATTCCTCCAGCAACAACATATTAAAATATCAAAATCTAATTAAAAAAGCTCTCGGATTTGGAGGAAAACCGAAACTAAAACTTGAAATCTTACCTCTTGATGTTTCTTGATTCTTGATGGATTTTGATAATTCAAATGTCCAGATTGGGTCTCCTTAATGTTTTGAGAATCTTTTGTGAACGGTCCATGGTCGGATAACGCCCCCTCATAGTCGGATGGAAGTATCCCGTTGCGAAAGTGATAAGCTAATTAGTGATTTATTTAGGGGAAATGTTAATGGTCATAGCTTGGAGAGAAAGTTTAGAAAATTTTGTTAGTGCCTCCTCCCCTATCAATACTCGTCACATACTCTAACAAAAAGAATAAAAAAGCATAGTGATTAAGGTTCTTAGTACAAAGAAACTCTCTCTTTAAGTTGTTTTTTTTTTTTTTTTGTGCTTCAATTATTTGTTTTAGTGTATTTCAATCAAGAGCCAAAACCAACACTTGATATCTAAGCTAGGATGTCAAAACAAATATCATCAACATAAAAAGTCACCGGAGGTGATGTGACAACGATAAGCCGCAGAAGGGAGAGGAATATAATGCTTCAGTACCCGTTACTCACAAAGAGTAACTACGCAGTATGGTCGGTAAAAATGCATGTTAACTTACAGGAGTAAAGTGTGAGGGAAACCATCGAGCATAGTGATAACATTGAGGAGCGTAAGGATAGGATGATTCTTGTTGTCATCTACCAAGCAGTCCTAGAGGACGTCCTTCTCATGTTGGTAGAGAACTCAAGAGAGGTAACGTGGGAGATGCTGCAAACAACGCATATGGGTGTGGAATGGGTCAAGAAATCAATGGTGCATACCTTGAAAAGTGAGCTCGAGGCTGTTCGTATGAAGGATGATGAGTTAATAGATGATTTTGCCATGCCATGAAGTTAGTAATGATTGTCACCGGCATCAGTTTGTTAGGTGACAATGTGGAGCTTGTCAAGATTTTGTTCGAGTTGTCCCCAAAGATTCACATTATATACATACATGCACGTTCCTTCCACTTTTGTATTTCTTAAGTATAAGGTGTTCTAATCCCTCGCTACAAATTTAGAGAAAAAAAAAATTAAATAAGACTAAATTTGAGAGAGAGAGAGATTTGGTGTTTTGAAAGGTTCAAGAATGGTTGGCTACTTATATTGTTAGTGGGCCCACCTTTTGGTTTGAGTTGCATGCATGAGGGGTGTCCCATTATCTTACCCAAATTGAATGCCGCCCACATGTACTCCCATTTTATATCTTTTTTCCCCATAATATTGTCGGTTCTTTTTCCTTCTTATATTATTTCCTCCTTCGTAAACGTTTTTCCTCACATCTAATCAAATTTAAAACAGCTCTATAAAAATTATCCATGACTTCAATTGGCGAAAGAAAGGATGGTTGGTAAGAAGAGTCCATCTCGGGTGAAGTAGCTCGGTATAAGTGAAAAAGAATTTGAAGGACAAAAGCAAACTGGTTCAGAATTTTGGCTAAAGCGAACCAAGTAAGTGACCTTACTATCGGCTCAATCAGAAGACTTGTCTTATGTATGACGACACGTGCCCAGTTTCCCTTGCACGTGTCATTTATGTTTTATGTTATATGATGATATTGATGATAATATATGATAATGTAATGATGTTATTTAATGATATGACGACGTTATATGATGATGTAATGATGTTGTGCGATGATGTGATGATTTATATGATGATATAAGATGATGATGGGTCTAAGGAGGGTGCGAACCGTCTGGGGATCCACACTCACACATGTGGGTCGTGTGTAGGGAAGTACTAGACATCCAATTTTGATCAGATTTGAAACAACCCCTATGATGATTTTAACTATAGGTCTCTAATCATGAGTTGCATGTGTTTGCATTCCCTAACCCCAATAGTGAGGTCACATACTATAGGTCTCTAATCATGAGTTGCATGTGTTTGCATTCCCTAACCACAATAGTGAGGTCACATACTGAGTATTTCTAAGCCGTGTGATACTTCTATTTCAGGTATAGGCAAGGCATCTCGTACGACCAACGATAGCATCAAAGTTAAGACTATGACACATGCATAGAATAATAATATTTTATTTCTTATTCTTTAGGTTGGATAGGCTGTTTTTAATTTTATTATTTATTTATTTCATTTAGTATTTTGTTACGTTGTTTTAAAGATATTTTCAAACAAGTTCATGATAGGATTTTATGATGAAGTTTTAAATGTTTAATTCCGCATAAAAACATAGGTTAGGATGACGATAACGACTTTAGGTTGGTAGAAATCTAAGGTTGTCATATTCGTTTATTTATTTATTTTTATTTTTTTACACAACTTGTCTTTTATACATGACAATCTAGAATCTCTACTAAAACATGTGTCTATAAATCAAAGGAAAATGTTTTGAATTCATAACAAGAGCACAAACTAACCTAACATTTAAAAATTTAAGGTCTCGTTAAAGCGTTAAAACCTTAATGGATAATTTAACACAAAATCTAACATAAAATATGTAACGACCTACTTTTCGAAATCCTTAGACTAACCCGAGTTCATTATTACAGCACGCTCACATCATTTAAAGTAGAAGAATAAAAAAATGCATGTGTATAGTCAAATTGCAAAAAGAATAGTGGTCGGTTTCCTTGGGGTAGTTGGGCTTCCGTTAGCTCGATTGACATTTAAGATAATTTTGGATCATCCCATGATTAAGCATAAAAAAGTCAAGTTAGCTGTCTGTAACGACGCCCGGTGGTTAGCAGACCCCTGAGTGTCATGCGAGGCATGATCATCATCATCATCATGAGGTCCCTATAGTTTTCATCTTTTAATTGTACTTATCACACAACCCTCCTATACATCATTCACACATTGCCCTAGGTAACATGCATGTATCGGCCTTCATACATTCATCATCATTAACATCAATTAGGGTTATGCCTTAGAAAACTTTTTGTCATAATGCATAATAACAATTAGTACATGGACATTATCTTAAT